GTCCATGTTTAGTGAGAAAGCTTAACTTACTGAGAATGAATAAAAGAATTTTAATATCCCAAGACTAGAGCTTTATTACAACTTTTGGACACTGGACACTCCACAAAGCAGTTCTCAATCAATGAAATAATTTTACCACCTTAACAAAGGTTTCATTAGCAGTTATGATTGACTATATGCAACTGAAAGAGAAAGCGAAACTCAGAGGTTCAGTAAGCAATGACTTTATCACTTCAACACTGAAAAGACAACAACACAAATCTTGATTTTTAATACTCTTGGCAATGATTCACTGCATCATTAACATGATTGAATGATTATTTTTCCTATTCTTAAAATTAGTTTTTTTAAGTCGTAAAATCATAGAACTTGAAAAATATTTTCCACAATCCTACTTTACAAAGATGATCACGATCAATAATTAAATGTACACGCCACCAGATTTTTCATTAGCATATGCAAATGGATGAACAAAGCACTATTTATCAAGACTGCACAATACATAACTTTGAAATGAATTTATCCCTTAAAAATACATCTTAAAAATGTTTGTCCATGGGAGAGTGCGTGTGCACGGTATAGTGGAACTGTTTTTTTTCAACGTCTTGTGCATTTCATTGTAAATAATCAGTAAACATTTGGGTTGTTGCCAATTTCTCGCTATTAAAAACAATGCTAAAATGAACATTCTTGTAAAAATACATCTTTGGACAATTGTGCAAGAAATTAGTTTTAAAAAAACTAATTTCCATGGGTAGATTTTCTGATTTAAATTGCATGAACATTTCTATTTTAATAATGGCTACCAAATTGACCTCCAAATAAACTACAAAAGTTTCCAGTTACTTCAGGAATAAAGGACAATATTTGGTCTCCATACGTCTGCCCCACTGGATAGGAATTAGCAATGATTTTTGTGAATGTGTTCTTCTGATAAGTGAAAGTGGATAGCATATAATATCATTAACTGATTTTGCATTTGTTTACTTTGAAATTGAGATCTTTTTATACATGACTTTTGACCACTTGTTTGTAATTTCTTTTCTGTGAATTTAGTCTTCTATAAGATAGTCAAATTGTCCTTCTTATTTATATTATAAGAAGTTTCTGAAAACTAGAGTAATTAGCTATTTGACTCTCATATGTGTTACAAAATATGCCATTATATTCATGAGTTTTGTCTATGATTGTCTATGGTTGCATGTAAATGTATGTATTTTTTTTGTGTAAATTTCAAGGTTTTATGTTTGCAATCACCATGCTTATATTTTTCCTATGTTAATTTTTGGTTTCATGTCACTGTAAAAATCCATCCACAATATTATAAATATAGTCAGTTACATTTCACATACTTTTGTGGGGTTTTTGATTATATATAAATACTTATCCACCTAAATTTAGGGTAAGAAATAAAACAGGAATTCAGCTTTGTCTGTCTAAGTGATCAGTTGCTTCTTTCAATACCATGTATTTAAGAACCTACATTTTCTCACTGATTCAAAACGCAAATTTGCATGCGCTTAAGGATGAATGGAGAGAGAGAGAGAGAGAGAGAGAGAGAGAGAGAGAGAGAGAGAGAGGTATTACTTTAAGCTCTTAGTTCTATTCTAGTAATGTGGCTCTTCCTACGTGTCATCCACATATTCTATCAATTGCTGAGGAATCATTTCTGTCTGCTACTCTTCTACTCTGTGCCCCTGCACACTTTCCTCCCTGTCTGAACTGCTCTCTCCCCTGTACCTGTCTTCACCACCTCCAGATTAGTTGCTAGTTTCTCTGGGACACTTACTTTAGCTCCCTGCTCTACACCAGGCACCATGTCTTCCTCAGCAGGCCACTCCTGGATTCTGTCAGGGTACACAAAACCGTAGGGACACTGCCTGTTCATTTACACACCTCTTTACTAAACAAGAAGTCCTTCAGGATACCATCTGTCTTCTCCACTGTATCTAAAGCCTCACAGACTTTCATTAGTGTTTTCCGAGAAAATGAACCAAAAGCAAAACAAACTAGGGTGCATTTTATCTCAATTGGGTTCCGCAAGGGGCCATTCTCACTCTTAACCTCATTCTTAATTTAGATGTAGTCTTGATTACAAGTAGTTTTCCGAGCAGATGATCCCTCAAAAAGTAGCAGTACATGGAAAAATTAGAAGAGAAAAAAGGGAACCACCAGTAAAAGATGAGTTAATGAACTGGGGGAAGCTGGGCCTTGCTTCAGCTGGGGACCTGTTGAGAAATTCTGGAAGTTACTGTGGAACTACCCACAACCGCTCCCTCTGCCAAGTGGAGAAACAGGGGTGCTTATCCACAGACTGCACCAAGACCAGAGTTACAAACTTGAAGATCGTGTCTGTGTGCAAAAGCCAAGAAAGCACACACGGAAGCAGAAAAGATGTGGGGCAGAGAAGCCGACAGGCAGAGACCCTAACTGGGGAGCAATCAGCGTATAGGTGAGCACAGAGGAGGCCAAGAGCACAGGGGCAGCACCTGCTACAGTGCCCACCGCAACCTGAATGTGTACAAACTAAGATTGGGTTTGAGCTATTTAAATCTTCCTTATGGGCTACAAGGACTGTTTTCTAGTCCCTTCGGTGTACTAAAGGGCCATTGACATAAATATTACTTGATTCAGTGGAATGGACCAAAGCACCTGCAAAGGAAAGCTGCATACTTTGGGTTCTGTTCTCCATAATAAATAATTTTCGCATTGTAAAATATATCTTTGTTCCAACATGTCAGACGATAAAATTTGTTCTATTATGATACCTATTTCCACGTCTTTGCCTGGGTAATTTCATAGCCAGGGCTTCCATTACGGGGCTCACTGTAATGTGGAGCATACCCCTAACTGCATCATCGGTGAAACAGAAGACACTTTAGCTGATCTTAAAAGGAAGATAGGAATTATTAAAGAAGCGATTAAACATTTCTCGAGTAATGTATCGTAATGAAGTCAAGCATTTACAGCGTGCTCTGTTACACATACATACTTACAGACCTTCAATTCTCTGACCCTATCTATTGATTCTTGAATATTGCATACTTTTAAATATTTAAATATCATTTTGAACATCAATCCATTTTCAATGATCTTGAACGTCTATGTCAAAATCTACTTTTTTTTTGTACTAAGGATCAAACTCATGACCTTGTGCCTACCAGGCAAGTGCTCGAGCCACTGAGGTAAATTCCTGGCCCTCAAAACCTACTTCTTCCACAAGGTAGGAAGCTCTACACAGGACAAGCACTGAATAGAGGATATATATATATGCTGGTATTTAGGCTCATAAAAATCAAGACATAACTGGTGTGAAGGATTACCATTTATTTGTTGACTTTAAACAACACAAATATATCATCTTCTAGTTTTGGAGGCCCGATGCCAAACATAGATTCCACCAGGCTAACATCAGGGTGTCAGCAGAGTTGCATTCCTCTTGGAGGGCTGGGGAGGAATCCCTTTTCCAACCTTTCATACCATCTAGAGGCTGTGTGCAGCCCCTGACAAAGAGCCCTGTCCATTGGCTTTCAAAGTATAAAATCTTTCCTTTTTCTGATCTCTACTACTATTTCTCTATCTGGCTCTAACTCTGTTTCCTCCCTCTTACTAAGATCTTCATGACTGCACTCAGTCTGCCAAAACCATCTCCTTATTTGAAAATCTCTAATCACCTTTGTTAAGTCCCCTTTGCCATGTAGGGAAATTGTTTTATCCACAAAGTCCACAGATTAAAATGTATACCTCCTTAGGGGATCATTATTCAGCCTACTATACCTCCTCTCCCGATTTCTTTTTTTAACCTGTTGTTAGAGCTAGTTTCTCTTTCATTCTGTGTGAGATGATTTCCATAGCTCTAAAATAGTAATTTTTAAGTTTGGTTAATGTTTCTATTCTTACTATTATTTTCTTGATGATGAAATTGTGTATTTTATCGATGCGGTTGTACAGTCCCGAATCTGGGCCCCTAAATCCACAGGTGTTGCTGGTGGATAAGAGAAGATGGCATAGCCAGATTCCTGGTCCAAATTTCTGCCCTACCACAGATTAGTGAGAAATTGCCCTGTCTCTCAGTTTCCACAGTTGTGACACAGAAATAATTATGGCACTTGCCACATACACTTATGGTATTAATTAAATATATTGAAACTGTCAAAAATAATGACTAGCATATAATACCATGCAAAGCCATAAATTTATTATTGCCCTCATGAAATTGTTATGAATATTACAGATGGTAGATAAAACCACAGCACAATCACTCAGGAAATTATTCATTCATTGGATCTTTAGCTTCATGATCTGTATTAAAGGCAACATTTTAAAGAAATCAGAGTCAAGGAAATGTTACAAAGGTAGAAGCCTGGTAAAAAGTGTTGCCTTTGTGCTAATAAGCTGAGGTGTTGGAGGCTTCCATGTGCAACCAGTATGTCAGAGGATTAAAATATGTAAAGTCAACAGTGTTTTAATGGGTACATTTTATTCATTATGATGATGATATAATATTAATGATTGCACACTTTTTAATATTTCAAAGTGTTTCCAAATATATTATGATGTTGATGAGGCAGAATCTGGCAATCTGATGGATGTTTGATTACTTAGGCTTCCTGGATTATTACCATCCTTGTCATACAATGACACTTTAGTCTTTTATTTCTTAACACCTTCAACATTACCCAATTGTTTCCCAGATAAATTGAGCTTTGCCACTCAAAAGAGTATAGTAAATAGAATAGAAACTTGTGGAATCATCTTCCTCTCCCATAAATGAAGCAACAGCAGAGTGGTACAGCATATCAGCTATTCTAAGTTCCTCAAAACAAGTTTTAGTTTTGCAAAGCGCACTCTTTAACTTCCTATATTCTGTAGGCTGCATTATGAACAACATGACCGGCAGCCACGTTTGCTGCAATTTTTTAAATATGTGGAAAAAAAGCAAGATATCAACCATGTATTACCTTAACCAAGATGCCAAATTATCTAACTTGTTTCTCCAGGCCAGCAGCCCCACAACAGGGACAGCTCCCCGGAGCCAGTCAAGGTTGTCTGTCTGTCCATCCACTCAGGACATCTGCAGGTAAGTGCTGAGCAACTGATCCTATTCCATATTCTGTAGACCAGTGTTTGGATTTTGGTGTTATATTCTGAGTGTGTGTGGTGTATGCTTTTGTTTTTCACTGCCCGTGGACAATTTATACTTGGCTCAGTTGTTTTCCCCATTAGATCATTTTCTTCAGCTGTTGTTTACCAACTTCTGGCCATACTATCATTTTCATCATTCTCTCTCTCCCCATCTTTCCATGACTTTCCTCTCCATTCCCACTTCCCATCCTTTGCCTGCTGCTTTGTCTAGATCTTCCGTCTTGCATGACATGTCAGAAGATGCATTTGAACACTGTACCCCTGTCATGGTCCTGAGTCCTGCTAAGGATTCTGGTAAGAAACAAGTAAAACAGAAGCCTAGGAGGAGAAGGAGGGCCTCTGAGAGGTATGAGCATTCAGAAAAGCAGCTAAAAGGGAGAAAAAATGACTTCCACCTCCAGATATCAAGCCCCAGATGGAGGGAACTTTACACAGATTCTTCAGATTCATCTTCCACAGATGAGAGTCACTGGAATCAGGCCAGGAGGAGAGCCCAGGTTAAACTCAGACTGTCACGGAGAAGGAGAAACAGTAATAAATCATGTGGAAATCTGGCCGGGTCTTCTAATCCTAAAGGAATTGAGCTTATTGATTTGGGATCCAAAGGTGAGCAGCACCAGGAGATGATGGAATGTGAGAGCTGCTCTTTAAACCTCTGCAGAGGAAAACTCCTAAGTTACCATGAATGCAGCGCTTCCCTGCCTAGGGGACCCGTTGAGATGAAGCCACCCTCAAAGAACCAAGAGAGAAACAAAGGCAGATTCTTCCCCCAAGATCCTAAGCTCTTGCACAGTCTCAGACAAAATCAAACAATCAAGAAAAGGCTTTCAGAAGTGGATTCCAGCACTGAAACACTGGCGGCCACAGAAGATGGCAAGCATGTGGATGATGCAGGGCTCCAGGTGCATAGCTCGGTTCCACAGCCTCCTGCTGCCTGTGATGATGGGTCTGACCATGTAGAAGTCTGCAGGTCAGTCACTACAGAGAAGGGCTCATGTCAGATGTGTTTCTTCCTGCTGTGAGTTATGTGCGTGTTTGTGGCCTACCCTTGAAACATAACAGTTATTCACAATGCTGTTTTTCTGATGGGGATCTGAGAAACATAAGTGCAGAAGTGTGCATGAGTTTCATGGTTCTGTCTGTTGACTTGAAAAATGTCTTATCCTGACAAAGGGTCTGACAAGACAGTTGAGTTTTATACACATCTTACTTCAGAAAATAGGTGGAGGAAATGCAAGTGAGAGTGTGTGAAACCATTGGTTGTTTGATGCAAATTTGGTGAACGGTTAACACCCTGACAGAAAGATATTCAAGGCTGATGGGACTCTTTAAAGTCAGATTTTTGTATCATTAAAAAAGTCTTCTCTGCGTTTGGCTGTAATTTGTTCTCCAGTTGTCTGACTCAGCAAGGTAACTCATGACTGAAAGAACATAGAGACAGTTCATGGATATGTCATTAGGATTGCTGGAGTCTTTAGAGATACAGATCCATTAACCATACTGACCATCATACACTAAAAATTTTCAGTGTGTAACCATTTCATAATGATGGGATCACTTCCTTATAATTTGTACATAAAATTACATGTTTTCAAAATAGTTTAATGTTAAAAAGACTTGTAGATTATCCATACTAATAGGGATAAATGGGACAACTGTAAACAAAATGTGGATTTTAAATTTTTCATGCAGTTTAAGCTGTTTGAAGTCTAGTTGAGAATAAGTGGAGATTTTTGTGTGAGGCTCCATTGTTTGGATTTGTTTTTATAAAAGTTGAAGCTACTTGATGAAGTACATCTGGATCATGAGAGTCACATGACCTAGAGAAGGCACCCTCGGTCTTTAAAGGCAGGAGCAAGAAGAATAATTAAAGTCTGGATGTGATGGCATTAGAATGGTTTGTTTCTCTGGAAGTTTTAAAAGATACTCATGCATAAAATTATTATTCATTTATTCTGTCAAGCATCTATATCATGCATCAGGTTTTGAGAATTTTACAGTGTATAATATTTGGATAATTTCAAACATGAGAGAGCTTGTAGTCTGATGGGGAGCACAGACACCAAACAAACTATTTTACAGTTAATGTATATGTTTATAATCATGGTGGTTGAAGTTTGGGAGCACATCTCAAGGAAACTTAACTCATTCTAGAAATGAGAGGAATTCCCAAGGAGGATGCACACAGGATGGCAGGAATTGATCCAGACAAGAAGTAGGGAAACCTTCCAGGTACACAGTGCCACTAGCAGGAAGGAAGCAGGAGGGAAGGAGTTGGCAGTGCAGGAAATTGAGAAGCTGCTGTGTGACCGGCAAGTGGTGTGGGAGGGGGCGACAGAGCTAAGGATGGAATAGTGAGTGGGCCACGGAGCCATGCTAGCGGATTTAAATGAGATCTAATAGTAAAGAGACACCACTGAATTTTACACTAGTGTAAATGTTTTAGAATCTTTTGAATATGATTTATATATAGATTTGTGGATGAATGAAACATTTTTTCTAGTTTAAACTGAACGCCCCACTTCCAATATCTATTGTCATTTCCCAATCTACTTGTAACATTATTTAACAAAAGACTACCAAGGATGCAGCTTTACATTTAATGGTAATTGGAGCAAAAAGTAATGTTCGTAATTAAAGTCATAGTAAGTCGTTCTCTTAACTTACAAGTGCTACTCAGGAGGACCATTTCCACCAACAAGATATTTAATTCAGATTTTTATTAATGCAAGTGGGATCAATGGTCTCATTGCTTTCATTTTCTGCCATGGATTGTAATCAAAATATACCAACTAAGTGAATGCTTTTGAAAGCATTATGCTAGATGCTAAATATAAAAAAATGGCAGAACACTTAATTTTTTTCTTTAAGTGGCCTATTATCTAAGTGGGAGAAATTAAATATTGGGCAGAAAAGACAACATTTTAAAATGTGAATATAAGCAGAAGAATAAAGCATGGATCTCAAAACAAGAAAATTGCTGAGGATCCAATATGACACAGGCACTCCTTAGGAAGGTGTGGAACTACAGCTGAGACAAGAAGCTATTTATATTGGCAGAGATGCATGGACGGCATTCCAGATATTGAACTCACAGGTAGTATAGGGAACTAAACTACCATTAGTCCAGACAGGCTGAGGAGACTGCACATTTGGCAACTGTTTATGAATTTGTGTAGCCAGGTGGGAAGGTTTACATTTTTCCATAACAATTAATTTTTGAAGCATTTGGAAAGAAACATTATATCATTTCAAGTTGCTTAACCCTAATCTATAAGTTTATGCTTCCTTATAGTCTCCATGAACTTCTGAGGTTCCAAATGTTTGCCAGAAAAGCTCCTTTTAGCCCATCTCTAGTCAGAGAATATACATGATGATCTCTTTTGCACGCCAAGGTCCTGCATAATATTCCTTTAGGAATGCAATGGGCTCCCCTGCAAAAATAAATAAATAAATAAATAACACTTTTGAAAAGTCTTTACTAAATACAATAAGTTTGACCAAGAGTCGTATATACAGAGTAGTCACTTGGTGTCAGGGGATATGCTGAGAAAGGAACCTAAATTTAGGTCTTAAGGGTGGAAGCATCTTTTCCTCCCAGACATTAAGCAGAATGCCTGATAACAGGTAACAGAAGAAAGGAACAAAGGCCATATTGGCATTCCACCAAGTAAGCAGGAGCAGTCTTTGGGGCTGGATTTGCTCCAAGCATAAGACAAGGGTGTCAAGACAAGACTCCAAACCTTGAAACTTCAGAGGCAGGAAATGCTGATGTTATGGACAGACACAAGAGAGGTCAGTGGCCAGCTGCTGGAAGAGGGATGATAACTTTAATTATAAGCAGGCTGCTTGTCGTTACAGTGGCATTGTGTCAGCTGTCCACAGGCAATATGAGACATGTTATTAAACACAAGAGAGCACTCAGAGCCAAGCATGTATAATTCTTAGTGAATTTTGCACAGTGTTACACCGAACATTTGCATGTGTATCATTGCTTATGCTAACACGATGTATTAACACAGAACGGAGCTGGTAAGCATGAGAAATCTTCTCAAAGTCAGAGAGATTTGGTCTTCATTCTCAGAGAGGTAACAGTGACATGTAAATTAAATCTCTGCAAGGTATCACGAGTAACAGAAAAGCCACCTAATAACTACGGTGCAGGCACCAGGGTCCCCAACACAGGGAGAAAGATGACCGTGAGAGAAGCAGCAGTGCCTGAGAACTTGCACTCCTGAGGCTTCAGACATAAAGAGGCAGGGCCAGTCTCAGCCACAACCACAAAGCAGAAGAAGCTCCTAAGCCCTTCCTCCTTTTCTGTTCCTGGCATTTGGGCCCCACATGAGCACTATATCCTCTTTCACACCCTCATCGCAGCCTGCTGCAGAAAATAGATCTGTATTAATCAGTTATAACTGGATTTTAAGCCATCATCTGCTATACCAATAGTACAGTGAGAATGTCTTTACTTCTTTCACCTTAAAAATTACACTCAAAAAGAAAACTTGAATCATCCTGTGTCAGCCCTCCATTGAAACTTTTCAGTAAGCTCTCAGTGGCCCTCAGTGGGAGGTTCACAATCTTTACTATGATTTGGAAATCCTGCAGATCTCTCCATCAGATCTGGTTCTCTAGCTTCAACATCCTTCATTAACTATGACCTATTTATGCTGGTCTGCTTCTGGTTCCCCAGAAGTGTCCGCGTGTCTTCCTTTCATGACCTAGATTGACATCACCTTGTCACGTTGTCACTCTGTAACGCTTACCAGACTAATTCCTAGTTGCTCTTTCTCAACTCAAATGCCATTTCTTCTGGGACACTTTCCTAACTTCCTAACCAACACTCAGACCCCTCAGCAGTCACTTGCTTAGCACAAATTTTAATTGCTAAAATATAACCGTGTTTTCTTATTAACTGTCATATTTGTTCATTGCCACTCTGAAATGACTGAAACAGTACATGCTCAAACTGCAGTTATTGAATGTATTCCAGGAAAAGGATCGTTTTCGAATCTGTTCATGCGGACCATGTTAAACAGCACTGGGTACTGGATTACTTCATCCACTTGTAGAAGCATCTGGTGAAGGGTATTTCAGTGCCATGGTTCTAAAATCTTAGTAGACATCATGTAAGAGGGCTTGTTAAATTACAGGTCACTGGTCAATCCTAGAGTTTTCCTTACACTGTAGTTGGGCTCATCAATTATTATTTTTGAAGTGTTCCCAGGTGACACTGATGTGTTTATTGTAAGGACAATACCTTGAGAAAAACTGTTCTAGGCAACCAATTCTTTCCACGCTTTAGGTGGGGAAAAAATGAGAAAAAGGAACCAAAAGAATGAGTTTGGAAGCCAAGCTATGGATCTCTAGTGTTTTCTATTCCCTGGAATGCTGACATATAATGTGACTAGGTTACTTTCCTGTATTTATACCAATATAGTGTGCATTGTGTCATTAAAACTGTACCATTTTTAGCAGGAACCCAGTTGTCATGGTTTGGCTCTTACTTCCACCTAAACCCACTTCCTCCTCCCAACTACCCCCATTTCTATGGGTGAGTACACAAATTCCCTGAATTTTCAGTTTTTGATTCTTGTTCCTTCTACATTGGATGTGGCCAGTCTCCAGCAAAGTGTTGTCATTTTACCTTCAAGAAGCTGCTTCTGATTTGTTATTTCTCATTTTTACCATTCCACTGCGGCCCTTCTTGACACTTGGTGTTTGTCTCCACGTCTACCCATTAACCTGCTACTTGTTTTGGTCAGGACTTCTCTATCAGAAACTCATTGACATGACCTTTCACAAGAAAGGGATTATTTACTGCAGAAATAGTAAATCCAGGGATATAGATGACCTCAGGGACTCCAGAAACTCTAACAATGTGGACCTATCACTGTCTCTCTGCCATTTTTCCCCACCTGCAGACAAGATTTCTCTACATAAAACCGGGAAGAAATAGTGTGGGCAGAG